ATATTATGTATGGCACTTCACAATAGGCATAGTAGAGGCAGACTTGGATATAGGAACATCAAAAGCAAAACTGATTAAAAAATACTAAGGTAATAAAAAAACTACAAGGGGGTACATATATTTTAGGATTAGGATTAACGTGCATTAGTGGCAATCCATTAACATTTCATACAGGTCTTCATATGTTTCAATATATTTCAACTATGTTAAATATAATTGGAATTCAGATTAAAAATAAGTTAAAAACTGGGGACGATTTTAGCACTGTCTGTTTATGAATAAATAATTTTGCCAGACAAAATATCAGATTACAACCGAGTTCTATTTTTTAGTTTTTCAGTAATACTCCAAATGTGACCATATACTCAATTTACACAAGAGCGACCCAGTTCGGCAGGCAAAACTCAAGCACTCACAAGCCACTCTCTTATATAATAAATCGGCTTGCTATACCGGTTTGCTACTTGGCCTTGTCCTGGGCGTTACTTGGGTGTGTGTTCACGGAACCTCAGTCATCTCATCTGCGTTCAGTGTAATTAACGCTAAAGCTTTCTTAGTTTCTGTCCTAAACTTCGAAGTGCTCCCACTTCACGGTAAGTTCAGTTTAAACGTCGAGTATTGTAGAAAAATCAGGATTTACTGTAAAAACTGTGTTGGACCGGTGTTAAGACGACTAAGGCCGAGTTGTGCAGATAACGTAGTTATATGTTCGCTAAGCGCTAACGCTAACAGCCCACAACAAATCTGCCTATCCTAAATTCCTCTATTGTTGGGGAAGCTTTGAAGGGTTCTTTAAGCCACTAAAATGGCTGAAAGATAAGTCACTCACACAAGCTAACACGTTGATGTGAAACGCTAACCTCAAGGACAGGAAGACAACAGTTTAGCCCTCGATAATAACACAAATTATTGTTTTCTTCAGGTCAGTTTTTCTCAGATTATCTGGGATGTTGTTTCCTCTGCTCGGAGCAGGAAGTGTTTGACAGCAGCATGTGGTGTGTCGTGGTGAGGAGGACATACATTTCATGTCTGTGGTTGATTTGCAGGAAACAGGAAGTGACTTGTGTTAATCAAGATCAACTGTCGTTGCTTTAATTAACCAGTTAACCTCTGAAGTCTCTATAATTACTAGTACAACACGTCAGAATTTGACTAATAAGCTTCAAATATGTCCATGGTTGGTTACCAGTATATTACTCATGAGCTGCTCTGAAACCAGTCAAACCCAACTACACTACAATCATTTTTCATTTACCCTTTATTTAAACAGGTGGTCTCATTGAGTCACGAGATCTCATTTTCAAGAGACCTGTTTAGGGAGCAGATGGTGGGAGTTAAGGGCCTTGCTCAGGGGCCCAGAGTGGGGCGAATGAGGGTGGAGGCAGGTGTGGGTGTTTCACCTTTTCCACCCACATTTTGATGCTGACGGTACCGGGAGTTGAACCTGCGACTTTCCAATCACAGGCCCATCTTCTAACCTCTGCGTCACCACTCCCCCCCCCCCTCAAAATCAATTAAATAAATATATAAACAAGCTTTAAAGTGTCTGACATCAAATTTTCATAGAAAATATTAATGCATTTTTGGAAAGATAACATTTATAACTTATCGCAAAATTTTTTTTTGCTCTACTGAGATATTCTCAAGCACAGAAACGGGAAGTTACATTTTTATTTAATCCAGGATCGTGTGATTTTATCAGTCGTACACTTTTTCTTTGATGATTTGCTCTAATGTAACATTAGTAATGTTTATCTTGTACCATAACCTTGCAGAGTGCTGATGAAAATGACTAAATCTGACTAATTTACATGATGTGCTTAGATGTATTCATGTTTTATTAATGTGCACCGTCCCTCAATTTGAGGACATAAAAACATATTTAGTAAACATGTCATGGCCAGATGTGAAGGTCAGCTGTTCAGTCAGAAAGTCCTGGAGATCTTAGGTTGTTTAAATCATTGTCATATTAACGTGGGTATGGGTCTTGTGTATTTCCAGTTGACAGAAGATGTTCTTTACCCAAAAGTTTATCAGTGGCATCATTGATGTTGTCAGGTGAGAATCTGCACCATGTGAGTAAAATTGAGTATTTGGCACAATGTTTCAGTTTTTACCCTTTTGTCTTGGCAGCAACATCGACCCTGACCAGTACGTGCCCTCGCAGCCTGTAAGAGTCGCACATGATCTGCCCTCCAGCGTTCTGCTAACTGTGCCATGAATGTAATCATTCCTTCACCTGTCCCACAGCCCCCCCCTCGCATGCCGATGGCCTATGCAGAGCAGCGTGAGAGCGATGAGGAGAAACAGTTTCGTAGAGTTTTCCAGCAGCTTGCTGGTGATGTGAGTGTTGACATCTTTAACTCTTGTTGGAGCCACCCTATTTCTGTTCAGTGTCATTAAGTCATTTTTAAACTATTCAAAAGATTCTTCACATATTTCATCATTTTTCACAAGCGTACAAACTGTGCGCTGCAGGGGAGGGAGTCAAGGACTGGTGGACACTTTTCAAAATGGGAAACAAAAATACAGTTTTGTTAGGGATGCACTAGAGGATGACACAGGAGTGGATTTTCACTCCTGTCTTGTCCTGGTCCCACAGAAAAAATCCTGTCCTGTCCCAATCCTGGTCCAGAGTAAAAAAAATAATCCTGTCCTGTCCCACTCCTGGTAACATGACTCCTGCTCCTGTCCTGCTCCTGTTCAGAATCACTTCCAGTCCTGTCCTGCTCCTGTTTTTCCATTTAATTTTTAGGAAATACATTGAATTTGATTTGATCTTCTACCCATTCCTGTTTAAATTACTTTGTGTTGTGCAGTTTTATTTCAAAAGATAGGGCAACAGGAACAGTTCATCTGTGGTGAAATAGAGACATTTATTTCCTTAATCCAAACAAAAACCTTCACTAAATATCATAAAACAAATAATACATGGCCTGTAGTCCATATAATTTTTCTATGGAGGATCAGCTGCCGAGTCCCTGTTTCTAGCTCTTTTGAAGGTCAGTTACAGTAAAAACAAAAAATCAAAACAGTACATGGGTCACACCATGTCTGCCTTAGATGAAAGAACCCAAACATAACAAGTTGCATTTTACTAGTTTATTGAGCAATTGTTTCCTTTAAACAGTGACATTACTGTCATGTTTTAAATTGTTTAAATAAACAAACAACAAAAAGAAAAATAAATAATGTACCAAGCAAGAGAACAAATAAAAATGTTTAAAGGCATTATTATACATTGAACGATGTCCTCAAGAAGTTCGGTCTATGTGGTTGAGGTAACGAGCTCGTTTGGGTGAAGCATGATGTCGTGCATCTTACCAGACTTCAGAGCATCATTTACAGACTGGATCATTGCAGGTCTGGTGTTCCACCTCATCTCTCCACAGCTTGACCAGTCCAGAGCCTTGTGTAACCTAAAAGTGAAAGAAGACAGTGCATGAGTCAAAATAGTGTTACAGTGACTACAAATTACAATCTGTTGGCCTTTCTTTTGGAAAAAATATTTGATCAAAAACAAGAGATTTACAATTAAATTAAGTTACATTACAAACAGCAACAGATAATGAAGATTTTAACCTAAAAACCCACATAACAAAGCAGAGCATAATTTTTAGATTAAAAGGGACAACGTGGAGAAAAATGCGCTGTTGGAGTTTGTTTACTGACGGTAAACAAAGTCCGACTCCCCGCAGCTCCTCACAGCTGAGACTAAAGTTTAAAGCAGCACAGCACCAACACACAACTCTTATGAAGTTCAGGGTTATTTGACACGTTCCTGCCTGTTCTGTGAGTTTAATAGACAGACAGTTACTTTTTACCTTGCGTGCAAACTATTTTCAGTTACTCGGTACCGCTTCGCTCGCTGCTCCTCCCCCTCTCGGTGAAAAGCTATGACTTGAACACTTGACTCCTGGGAAATGTAGTCCTTTTGACATGTGTTAAAGTGAAGGCTTATTGAAAGAAAACTACAAAATAGCTGCATCTGTGTTTTTTTTGTTTTGTTTTGTTTGTTTCATTTTCATTTTGGGTTATTGATCGGTTCCCGCTCCTGTCTGCTCCCGTTAGCTTTCAGTCCGGTCACGTCCCGGTCACGTGAGTTATAATGAGGTTGACTCCGGTCCCGCCGGAATCCGTCCGGAATCCGTCCGGAATCCGTCCGGAATCCGTCCGGAATCACGTGACCGGCGGTACTCCCGAAAAAATGTCATCCTCTAGGATGCACAATGTTATCGGCATGGCATCTGTAATGGCCGATATTAGCATTAAAATTCAATATTGGACATCGGCCATTCCATCAAAATAACTCACTGATATAAAAGACTGTTTTTGTATGACAACCCAGAGACAAGGATGCCTGCAATGGCAGCACAGCGTGATGTCGTCTCGCGCACCTATCTGATCTCACAGCAGAGAGGAAAATTCAAAAATGTTGGCGGTGTGGAAGTTTTTTTTTTTCGTTGAGGATGTCAGATTCCGAAGATTTTTGGACTATGTTAAGCCTCGCTACATAGTCCCGTCGGAGATATTTTTCCGACGTAACCTTACCCGAGTTATAAGCCATCATTTCCGACGTCATTGAGAAGCTAATAGCTGATAGCACTTTGTTGAGTTTTACCACAGACATTTGGATGTCATGTTAGCCTCGTTAGTATGATTAGTCTTATGGCACAATGGATAGACAAAAACTTTTAACTTAAAAAGGCTGTCTTTCATGTACAGGAGTGCAGAGGATTCCACACTAAATGTCTATCGTTCCTACCATGTACCGTATATATTGCGCATTCCTAGACATGCGACTTCTGGTGGATTTGAACTCCCAACTTTTGCATTGAAGGACGACTGCTCTAACCACTCAGCCACAGCCGCCCTACATGATATGCATAGCACTTTAACTTACATTAAAAGTGTTGAATGTTATTTATTAGCATTAGTCAGCTGCGATGCTGTCTCACTTGTGGAGGCTTGTTCCAGGTTCCTAGCTGCAGCTAGGGATGCACAGATCCACATTTTTTTAACTTCCGATTCGATTTCGATCCCGATACCTAAATCTGGATATCGGCCGATACCGATCCCATTCCAATGTCATCATCATTATCATTGATTTTATGAGGCTGTAATAATCTCCTCTCTGTACAATTTGTACAAATCTATGCATGCATGTCCAAAAAGTCAGTTTTAAGTAAGTTTTAATTAATGTTGGATACGTTTCAAAGTTAAACTTAAATTCTGCTAACGCAAAACATGTTTTTTTTTAATTCCTAGCTTTAAAGTGGATATTAAAGTGATTAATTTAAGTGATTGTTTAGTTTTTTTTTAAATAAAGGGCAGATATATATTTTTTCTTCTTTCTGCACTCTTTTCATTCAATGTTTTATTTTTCATTAATTTGTTGTTTTGTTTCTTTTAAATGAATGAATAAATGAACAAAATAAAATAAAATGTTAAATGGCTTTAAACATCTGCTAAGTTCATGGCATAAACCAACACAGACATGTTCCTGTTTTTAGTATTTTACATCACTTTATAATGTAGCTGTTTTTGTTTCATTTAAAAAAAATATATATATAATTTTCTTGTAATTTTCAAATCATGTTTTTTTTTATTTTTTTATCATTGTCCACTGTTGTACTGATAAATATCTCCTGGAGGATAAACTATATCTTGGCTGCAAGTATCAAGCTGCGAAATCCTTCGTTTTCTACAACTGATAGTGGTTAGTGATTAATTACGATGAAGTTTAGCAACTTCTTGGTAAACATTCGAGCTCCGGGGCTTCAGCGATGTGTTATTCTCGTTCAGTCCGTAGAATGCAGTCTGATTTCGGTCAGCCGCGCTCAGTCTGCCCCTCCTCGGGAGACGGGCAGACTGAGCACGGTGGCCGGGGTCGAGTTGCCTGTTTCAGGTTGAGCAAGAGTAGCACCCAGTGGTTAATTTGAGCCATATCCTGCTGGAACAAGATCCGGGAGCTCTCTCATTTTGACCCGTTCTATTCCGGCAACTCTTTCCTCGGATCTGTCAACTCCGCCCCTAAAAGTTCAAAGTCAGACTGGGCAGCGGTGGCTGAGTGGTTAGAGCAGTCGTCCTCCAATGCAAGAGTTGGGGGTTTGAATCCAACAGCAGTCACATGCCGAAGTGTCCCTGGGCGAGACACCAAACCCCTTGTTGCCTCTGATGTGTGTCCCATCAGTGTATGAATGTGATGAAGCTCTGATTAGTCTCATTAGAATGATTTGTTCAATTAGCTTTGTAGAGCTCTAGTAGAGTGCTGTATGAATGGGTAATGAGGCACAGATTGTAGTGTAAAACGCTTTGAGTAAATCGATAAGATGGAAAGGTGCTATATAAGTAGAGTCCATTTACCATTTCATTGCGCATTTTTATTTTGATTATTTATTAAAAAATACAATGAGAGGAGACGTTGCCCTCAGCCCGGCGGACCCAGTCTGTGGATATTCCAGCCACATCGTGCGCGGCGCACCAGCTACATGCTCCTTCAAGGAGCAGGAGAGGAGCCTCTAGGCGGTGGCGTGGGGCGGTGAGGACGGATCAGATAGTCACATTATGCACAGAGGTGCTGCGCAGAGTCCTTGTCTCCTCCTCTCCAAATATTGTCTCTCCTCAGTGGGGCTGCACACTGAAGAACACCCCATCTCCTCCTCCTCCTCTCAGACCCCCGAAACAGAAACAATAATATTCAACAGAATAAATAAATTCCCTATGGACAGTGCACGTTATGCACAGAACCGTCTCCAATCTCTACCCATCGCGCGCACACGTCAGCAGATGTCTGAACTCCTGCTACATTTCAGACATAATAAATAAAAAAAGCTTACTGTAAAAAATAAATTAAAAATACAGAGAGAGAAATGTTTGATGTGTTATTCACATTATATGTCACGTTTCAAAACTGTGCTAATTTGTCAAAATAACAACGGAGATCAAAATGTAAAAAAAAACAGTCCAATTTACTTTAATAAAAATGGATAGATGGATTGATTGATGGTGTAGTATGACATATCCTGAGATATATTCATACATTAAACGGGTTCACTCATCTTTCTGGACTGGATAAAACGTGCATTGAATTTAATGAAATGTAACGTGAGACGTCATTTTTCTTTGACCCATCAAAATGAAT